GTTTGACCAAATGTGCTAACAGTACTGCAGTGACCAAAAATGGTGCAGGGGACACCACATGTGTTAGAACAACAACTTCTACTAACTTCCACATTTGTAACATGTCATACTGGCAAACATTTTACCTCGCTATGACCAACCCCCCTCCAGCCTCCAGCACCCTAATGAGAAAGTCAATATTTGTTGTGGAGAAATCACACAAGGGTGCCTCCCTGGAGGATAAATGGCATCTTGGCACACACAAAATCCACGTCACTCACTGTGTAAAAACTAGTACTGATGGCAGCCAGTGACAGATCACTCAAGGCTGAGGTGAACCTCAAAAACTGGACTGGAGACCAAATCTGAATATTGATCCTCCCTTAAAGATCATTGTTGATGGATAAGAAATGCCACAGGGTGCATCTCAATCTGCAACCCTTGGTGTGCAACAACCTTCGCTAAAGGTCTGGAGAAGGAAGCAGCTTTCCTCTGCTGATTGTGTACGGACACAGCCTTGTTCCTGATGGTGTCAATGACAGTTCGGCTGCAAGATGCAGTCTTCAGTGTTAATGTTCAGAACCTCGTCGCTCTGTAAACATTCCCGCTGATGGTGCTAGTGTACAAAAGCAGACCACAACACTTTTGGCAACAGTGATCACTATTGTCAAAAGAGATGTGTTCTGCTTTTGTGTGATTCATTATGTTGTATATGAAGTGATAGGTAATGGAAAGAAAAGGGAACCCATCACCAAGATGAAGGCAGCCTGTTCACCTCTCATGCTTTGTGGCATTCAGTTATGTAGCAGCTCGCCTTATCATGTAAAAACACACCGGAGACCGTAGGTAGCATCCTCTGCAATTCCGTGCAGGCAGCATTGGCTCTGGGACAAGCAGAACAGACGTGGGTTCTGGCAAACGGGCTGGCGAGTTGTAAGGTGACAGTGCTAAGATGTTCTCAGAACTTTCATCCTCCTCCCTAACCTCCACAGACATTAAGTGGCATAGCTGGGGCTTGCTGTTGGGGTGCAACATCATTGATTCTAGCAACCGTTGTATGTTAAGGAAATATAGCTCCTCATGTATTCCATACATGTCAGTGGCAATGCTGTGAGCGGGCTTCTCCGGACTATGGAATGAACCTGGTATACTTTGCATAGAGCTACACTGCTCATGCATCCTCTCAGTGATATCTAACATGTCTCTCCATGTACGAGGCCACTTATAGGCCGCCATCCCATGGCCAGAGGTCATACATTTGAGACATGGTAGTGTTCATTACTGCCTATCACCATGACTGCCTCCTCAAAGTTACTAATCACCAGTAGGCTTGTAGACCTATCCACAGGGCATCTCCCTGGTGTGCAAATAAAACAGAGTGATGTTAGCCCAATAGGACAGGGTCAAATCTGTTGAATTTGGCAATGCATCACAGTGGAATATCACATCACTACCACATTACAGTGTGTTGCATGGCAGAGGTATGTGTCATGCTTTTCACCTTGTCTATAGCATTCAGATTTGAACCATCACTTGGACCTGCGCACTTCTGATAAATATTCACCTTGCCAGAGTACAATGGCTTATGCAACCGCTTCCTACATTTAACCCATGACCTTTGACAGTCCCCTGCATGCCCTTATAGCAGATGTTATCTCCTTGCATGCCCTCAAAGGTTGCTGTGCGTAGATTCCACTGGCTATTGGATGTAATATGTAGCATCTCTGGACCTACTCCATCAGGACTACTGAAACTGACTGCAGCTGTTCCACTCAATCCCCATTTGCCCTGCCCTGTAACATTTGGACAAACCATAAATGAAAGGCACCAAAAGCTTCCAGTTTTGAATAGACTCACAGCTTATGGTCCATATTCTCCAATTTATAAATCCCTAATGTTGGGATGGGTGAGGAGAATAGGGATGGGCAATTGGTAGATGGCCTAGCATTTTGCGGCATGGTGGTTCAGTGTTTAGTACTGCTGCCTCAATGCATCAGGGACCCGGGTTCAGTTCCAACCTCAGGTGACCGTCTGTGTGGAGTTTGCACATTCTCCCCTTGTCCGTTTGTGTTTCCTCCAGGTGCTCCGGTTTCCTCTCACAATCCAAAGATTCTAGGTGTACGGACCATGCTAAATTGCCCATTGTGTCCATGGATGTGCTGGCTCAGTGGATTAGCCCTGGGAAATGTAGGGTTACAGAGACAGGGTAGGGGGTGGCTCTGGGTGGGTCTTTCGAGGGTCAGTGTGGATTAGATGGTCCGAATGGCCTGCTTCCACACTGTTGGGATTCTTTGATTCTGTGATTTGTTCCTCTCACTCTAGATGTCCCGTGGTATTGCTGAACTCAAACCACTTTCCTGCCCTGCTACCTCTTTATCACAATGTTTTGCCATGGTAATGTATTGACATCAACATGCTGAGCAAGGCTCAATTTCATAGCTGCAGTCTGGGAAATGGGTGGAAAGAGAGTGTAGGTGGAAGTGCAAAAGGTCAGTTTGTGGAATCTCTCCAGCTTCCCCTGAGGCTCTGCAGTGATCTGAGCTAACACTGCCAAGATGCTGCCACCTCCATTGCTGTGACCTGTGGGGCCACAGTGTAGAGATTGGATTTAATGAATACATAGAAAAATCTTTGAGGTAGGTGACACGAGACTTCTGTAGTCATGTCATAAGACTTTCCTCAATAGTTGGAATTAATGCAAGTCAGAATATGTTTACTTTGCTGCCTTATTGTTATGTGTAACTTACTAAAATACAAATTACTTAAACATTGCTTAAAAGTCAACTAGATGTCTGGCCTGAGCTTGTCTTAAGAACTGAAGACCCCATGCTAAATCATATACTTTCTTGCTTGCACACGTCCACTCCCTATCGCACATGCACACTCATCTGCCCTTTCTCATGAGCATCCTGCTCCCTCTTGTGCATGTGGGAACTCCCACTCTGTCTCACACTCTAAAACTTTCCTTCCCTCCTGTTCTGAACAGTCGCCGGACAATGGTCTCTAACTCATTAGGATGCCAGGTGGCCAGCAAGGAGCTGAATTCCCTTCCCTATTCAGTCCCACCGCTGTGCAGGTCACAACAAGATTAACTTCAAATAGAGGGTTTGCTTCCCTTGTGGACACTTCTACCAATTCTTATGTACTTGTGTTTGAAAAGGAATCAATTTATCGAGTTTCTTTTTGAGTTAAAATGTAATTTTATTAGCTACTAAAATGTGAAAAAAACAATGTACATGCAGATTAAAAGAAAGTGAGTAAAAAGAGAACTGTTAGAAGGATACATGAATCAGTGTTTGGTTTGTCTGTGTGAAGTAGCCGGTGCAATGTTGAGTTGAGTGGTTCTGGTGGAGTATTATAGTTTAACAGTTTATTTTAAACTTCATTCATGGAATGAGCGCATCACTGGCTAAGTCAGCATTCATTGCTCATCCCTGGGTAGTTAAGAGCTAACCACATTGCTGTGGGTCTGGAGTCACATGTAGGTCAGACCAGATAAGGACGATAGTTACCTTCCTAAAGGACATTAGTGAACCAGATGGGTTTTTCCAACCATCAACAATGGAATCATGGTCATCATTAGATTCATAATTCCAGATTTTTATTCCATTCAAATTCCACCATCTGCTATGGTGGGATTCAAACCCAGGTGTCCAGAATGTCAACTGAGTCTTTGGAGTAACAGTACAGTGATGATAATACCAGGCCATTGCCTCACCGATAAGAAGTTGGTTTGGAGATTTTGGGTTCTGCAGACGTACAGAGGAGTTGCCCAGCTTTGCAATCAGATGGAGAGGGACGCACGCACACGCACACGCGCACACACACACACACACACACACACACAGAGCATGAGAACTCCAGACTGTCACACACATACACAGAACTGTAGATCAGTTTGAAAACCTTCTTGTGTTTTTTTCCTGGCAGAAAAAGCACAGACACATCTTTTCTCCAGACTGCTTTTTTAAAAACATATTATGTTCAAAGATTGGGGATGTGACTCACAGGAAATGGTTCAGGATTTTATATGGTATTTCTTCCTATCAAACATGTCTTTGAAATTCCTTGACACCCTTCCAAGTGCAACATTCCATGCTCTCTCTCAAAACAAAGTATAATCCATACAGGAATTTTCCAGATACTGAAACATAAGTCAGGGCTGGCTGAGAATGTATGTTTCTTTTTTTTAAAAAAAGCAAAACAACCAATTTTACTTAAAAGTTCAATACGTCTGTGAGTTGTTTGGGGCTATGATTCATTGCCGTAAATCTCCCTCCTCTTCTATCACATTCACCTGCCCTCCCTCCATCCCCTCTTCCAAAATACGTATGCTTCCCTCTCCAACTCCTACACAACCCTCTTGTAATATCATTCAGAAACATAGTACCCAGAGGGAACTATGAAAATTGAAGGAGTTGTCATGAATAGACTAATTATCATTTTTTTCAGGAGACAAGGTACTTTCTTTATCTCTAATAAAGTTACCTTTCTACATATGGCCATTCCAAGGTGAACATTAATCTGGCTGAGGGAACAAAAAGGTCTTGTTCATGCATCCCAAGTCAAATCAAACTGCTCAGACCCTCCTTGCCAAGCTATGATTTTTCCATGCCCACTCACCCACTGTATAGAACCAATTAACACCACAGTGAAATAAGACGTCACAAAAAGGCTTTTTAAAGAGTTATTCATTCATTTCCATGCTCTTTTTTTTTTAAAAAAAAAGTCTTTTTCTACAGCCCAACAAAAAGTATACCTAGACCCTTAAGCAGAAACTCAGAGCACTTAAAAACTCTATTTTGTGGAGATCTAGACTATACAGAAGAAATCAGAGAGTCAGAGCTCTCAGCCAAGAATGTATAATGAGGTAAGGCTGGGAATCTATTAGAATATTGAAACAGCGGAGCCCCAGGAAAAATATTGCTTGACTGTCAACTGCGGCTGTCAGGTCCCCATTCCAATCAACCTTTTCTCCCATTAACTGGACCCAAAAGCTAACCTAGCCCACAAACACCTACCAGTCAGTGTGCGGGTCATCAATAACCAACAGGATCTTTGGTTTCCGTACGATAGGAGCTGTGGGTCCAGCTATGGGTGCAGCTCCTGTTTGTTCCACCAGTCCCGCAGCAGCTGCTGTTGTCTGCTTCACAGCATTGGAGATGGAGCTGAGAATGGTGGAGCCTGTCGAGGGAGCTGGTGGCTGACGGCGCTCTGTGGCTGGGGACACTGGTGAGCTGGTCGAACTATCGGGACGCTGCAGGTCCATCATGTAACCATTCGGCAAGTTTGCTACAAAACTGCTGTCAGAGAGGCGTCTTCGCAGGTAATTCATCTTTCTAAGAATTGGAAAGAGTTTTCTGAGGATCTGGGTTAGAGGTCAAACGTGCAATTAATTTCTGGTGAAAACGCAGCAGTTTTCAAATTTTGAAGTATCTAGCTGGCAGATCTTGATTTCTTATTGGAGAGAGAGAGGGAGATAGAGAGAGAGAGAAGTTGTAGCCAGCCGGAAGGGATGTGAAAGTCCCTGGAGACAAACGATCAGTGGGAGTAGTTGGAATCTTCTGTGTGACACATCCAAATGTCTTTCCTGTGGAGAATAAGACATTTCACATCAATCAGCGAGACAAGGCTTACTTACACCAAGCACTAACCCAACAATGCCAAAGTGCTCAATAATGCTACCTCCAATTCCAGATCCAATGGCAGTTCAAATTAGATATCAAGGGGAAATGTGTCTGAATTGCAACTTTGTCAGACTTAACTGTTAGTGTAAAGATGACCAATGTCTAATTACATAAAGTTCACAAGTGGGGCTGCCAACAGGGTAAATAGCTGCTGTTTAATATCCGATCATGAGGATATAGTGTTTAAGGTCAAAAGAAATCTCTCCCTCTCCCAGTCGTCCCTCTGCTCCAATGCTGGAATATGTTTCTACCACCTACATATAAGGCCTACATAAGAAGGAAGATACCTAAATGAATATGGTAATCATTCTCTTAGCAGAGAAATGACTTTCTAGTGTTTATTCTCTTCCCAATGTCAACAGGACAGTGCAGAGTGCCAACTGATTGAACCCAGTGCCTCTATGAATGCATACCCCATACAGCTGGGAGAAGGAGAGACCAGCTACCGCAGTATATTCTGCCAGTCCCACCAGCCAGCTCTGTAAAGCTGCCTCCATATGAAAAGTGGACAAACTTCATCACAATTATTTGACTGATTTTAGGAGCTTGGGCCAAGGCAACAACTTTATGTGGGCCTCACTTCAACTGGTCAGTAGACCACAGTATTTCTTCTTCCAGGCTGCAAGAGATCTGAAGGTGATCCTGACTTTGAGGGTCTCTATCCTTGGTACTGCCTCGTTTTATGTATGAAAAAAATCAATCATTTGTATCCAGGTTTCAGTATATTTTGGGAGTCCTCAGTGCACTGCTAGCCAAGTAACAGCAGGAATGTACCAGAAAGCTTTAGGATTTCCAAGGAAGGTGTGGCTTAGTCGATGCAGGGATCTATCTGCTTCTTATTTTTGGTCTGGTAATTTTCATGGTTCAAGCAGCTGCTCAGTTCAGGCTTGCCTTCTGCCACAGCTTTATAATGGGGCTGCCTGGCACAAACAATAGTTGCAGGTTGGTCAGCTGGCCACTAATCATCTGAGAACTGGAGCAACAAAGTGGAAAATCTAACTTTAAACTATCTCATGACAATAACTAAACCAGTCAGTAACAGAGTCACTTCCTTCAATGACAAATCTGTTTCTCATTTAATATAAACATACATCAGCTTCCATCACTTATAATCTACTGATTTTGATCCTTAACTAACCACTTCAATATGTTGCCAATTTTACTGTGAGGGATCCATCCACAAAAATTAAAACAGGTATAAAGATAGTCACAAAACTGTAAAAACAAAACTCCAGCAGAAAATGAGGTTATTCATCCCACTGAGCCTGTGATGATGTTATCTCTTCAACAGGAGAAATCTGCTATAATCCATTTTCTCCCAGTATCCTTCCTCCAACATCAAGAACTCCATTCAACCTTTCAACATTTTGCACCAGCTCCTTGTTACCATATGCAATGTGCTTAAGCATAAAATCCAAAATTGTATGTTTTTATCTCATACTTTCACATTTAAAGATATTGACATCTGAAATCTAAAATCTCTGTTTTTGGACTTGTAAAAGCTATTATCTTTTACATTTCGTAAAAATGTACCATGTCTCACTCTTCTGCATTGAACTGTATTTGGTACCTACCTGCCCATTCCAGTAACCTGTCTGTGTCCTTCGGCAATCTTGCTCATATTTTACCACAGAAGAGGCAAATCACAACTTGTACAAAAGCAATACATTAAAAGGAAAAATGCTCTTTCTTCACATGTTAAAAACTACTTAATGAGAAAACAAGCCATGAGGGAAACAGAAATCTCAGTGGACGAGCACGTTTTCCTACCCAGACTTTTGAAATGTAGCTCAGATTGAAACACAATTAATTCTGTTCACTGATTGGCTAAATCTAGAGTAATAAATGTTGTGGAAAATTAAAACATCCATTGATACAATCAAGGATATTCCTCAGAGATTGGAGGTAACTCAATGCAGATTGATCCAAAACGTTTAGTTGTGGTCTATGAATGGAACCTGCTCAGCGAAATGGGGAAATTAAGTTCAGTCAGTGTTATTAATTCCTCTTGCAGTTTTAATTCCCAACAAGCTGCAGCTTTGAGTCAATAAAGAAGATGGGAGATTGACAACCTAGAGTAGTCTCAAACACCATCATCAGTCATTACTGGTAGTTATGCCACTAAGATAAAAAACTCTGTACAAAAATCCTGGCATGGCACATAAATCTAGCTCTGATACCTTGGTTCAATTTGGATCAAGTGGGCCACTGTGGGCAATACTGCCTCTTGTACAAGTCTTTAAATCATGGTCCTGTTTTGTAGATTTCAGCACCTTAGAAACAGATTAGCGATTCATCTTTTTGAGGGAAAAGGTTGCTCTGAAATTGACTACCACAATTGCTTTCAGAACTGGAACTTAAAAATAATATGAGAAATGCTTTAAGTAGTCCCAGGTCTGTGAAATGCACTATATAAATGGATGTCCTCTGTTTCTTGAGCCTGATTTTGCTGTAACTGTTGTGGCTGAAATGTAGTTACTCAATTTTCAATTATGTGGCTCAATGATTATACAGTCAATAAAATTTATATTAAATGAAAAAAACCCAATTAATCCACTAAATACTACCAGATAGTGCTATTAATTTATCATCAACTACTTTTCTTAAAATCCATTATAAAAATTGAGGCAATTAAGGTGATCTTCAGTGTTAAGGAGTCTGGTGCTGAACTCCTCATTCGTTTTGATTCAACGTGTACAGACAGTTGAGTGGAATTAAGTTAAAAAGTGCACAACAGGCAGGCTCAATTTATATACTATATTTATACTAACGTTTTTTGCATGGAGTGGGATAGCGGGGGAGGGAGACTGAAGTATTGGAATTGACGCCTATTTTTATGTCTCAGCTTAAAGTATGAAGGGTATCTTAAGCAGTTTCCCTGACCTTGTAAAAAAAAATTAACACAAAAATAATCCCTTTAAAGTGAAATTTTTCACAGCAGAGAGTGATATGCATCATGCAGAAACCTATTAGCAGAAAAAAGATCTCTACATTATTATAGAGATTCCGAGTTGTTACAGGCTGCCAGTGCTGTAGACTGGTGAGATCACAGTAATACCTTTTCATCATATATAGACAAAGTTAGAATGTTATGATTGTACAGTTAATACCCTTTTTACTGTCTCTCAGCTCTCCACCTCAGGCTTGCTTTTAAAATTTTATAACACAGTATTCAATGCAATAACATCCACTAAACCTTTTTCTTTAAAAAGCATCTTGTGCTTTGAACTGCAGTCTTTAACTAGAAATTTCACATTTATTGATCAGGAATTCATTACCTCATTCTGATGAAAGGTCACCGGACTGGAAATGTTAACTATTCTTCTCTCTGCAGATGCTGCCAGACCTGCTGAGTTTCTCCAGCACTTTTTTGTTTCTTTGTATTATCCAGCTTTGCTAGATTGTAACGTAATACAGACTGGTAGGTTATATTTCTGCCAGTTTTTCTTATTGTTTATTAAGATTAAGAAAGAAGTTCTGTTTTATATACTACTGATTTTTTTACAGTTGGAACTCATAATCTTTAAAGGTCCTGGGTTATGTCCCTGATTTTCTGAATACAGAAAAGCTGGTACTGAGGCCAAATGCGGATGAGTAAGGCACAAAGCTTGAGACTGAACTTGCTGTGCCTTTACTTGGATAGGTTTTCTGGCAGTTATAGGTTTTGGGGTGGGGATGGAAGAGTAAACACTGCCTCTAAACTTGCTGTATGCAGCCTAATGGTTTCAATGTGTGGTACCCTTAAATATAGTTATGCCAACTATTACACACAGGAGGTAGTGGGCAGATTCCCCACTTCCTCCTTCACCACCCCGCCCCCCAATTAAAGAGTCAGTTGGAAACAGACTGACAAAAATGACCTGCACACTGCAGTGATATAATGCAGTGGGAAGTATAATAAGGGGAACATGGGACTTCTGCCCCACAACAGGGAGGAAACCCTGCCCTACAGAGACGCTAGACAATGTGATTTGCGAGTACCACTTGCTGTGCCAGGAGTCCAAAGTAAGTGCTGAAGAGATCAGGCTGGCTCTTCAGCAAGGCGGACCAAGAAGGAATAAGATATCTTAGGGAGCAGCAGTGCAGGGGGAGACGGGTTTGCAGTAACAGGCAGAGTGGAAGCAAGCGGAGGCGGGGGGTGGTAGTGGTGGTTGCTGCAGATGCATAAACGGCGGTCCTCAAAGATCGTACCCACTGTTTCAAAAACATCTTTTTTAAAAATACGCTGCCCACTCCTACCTGCCAACCATATTGTGGCATGGTCAGTGTTATTGTGGGGTCAATCGAGATCTTAAAATGTTCAATTGAAACTTCATTACTTATTTGCATATAGCACATGGACGACAGAGTCTGGCGTCTGTGATCCCGTCTGTATTATTGCAGTGATTTCAGGAGTGGATTGGAAGATCCAGAGTTAGACAACTGATCTACTGGACTTGTCCTCCACCAAAATCACAACCAGCAGGGACATACATTATCCAGCGTGCAGGATCTTAGAAAGGAACTCTGCATGTGCAGCACCTTCCTGATAACTATTTAGCTACAAGTGCACAACTAAGCAGGAACATTGGTTTGAGTCATTCTCCAAGCAGAATGGCTAAGTAGGACACGAGAAAGGTGTACAGGTGGAGGTGAGTGAGTGAATATGAGGAATGAGCCATGCCTTCTATAAATGCAGAAATATAATTCTCAATTGATCTTTGTGAACTGCTGTTTAAATACCATTTTGTATTAATTTTTACACACGTAAATATCATTACT